TTTTTTTTTTTTTTGAGTGCTGCCTTTAAAATGTACCAAGTATGAAAAAAATTCCTAAGCTATACTGTATAGAGAAAAAAAATTAAATTTTGGAATATTATACATAAAGTATGCACCTGGGGGTACCAAAACCAATTTGGTTGTGTACATTCTTACATGTGTGTGGAAACCTCCAGAAGGCTACGTATGAACTGCTCGTGGAGCCTGCTGTAAGAAAAGCAATGCAGAGAACAAGAGTAGGAGAGAAGTTTTAATTTCCCCATTTGTGTTTCTGAAAATTTTTTCTGTGTTTGTGTGTGGGGGTGTGGAGGGGGTCATGTGCACTGCTTATTCAAATAAAGAAAAGAATAAATAAATCTATAGTTATCCTTGTGAAAGAAAGGCATCAAAAGCAACCAAGTCCAAAATATTTACTTAATGCCACGTAGATGTAATATGACAAACACCACACACACAATGGGTCACTATCACAGCAGTAGCTGAAAAGAACGTACCCTTTTTTTTTTTTTTAAGAACGTACTCTTGAGAGAAAAAGTTGATCAGAAAAAGCCACAACAAAATAATGTGCTAAAAATGTCCCTTTTACAGCACAATCCCACTTCTAGGAACTCAGCCTAATAAAGGGTCCAGAGCACAGAAAAGAGTGATGATCCAATGCTTCTTATATGAGCCAACCACTGAATTATATGATGTGAATTACATGCCGGTAAAGCTTTTCTTAAAAGAGCACAAAAAAGAAACCAGGCTACTTAGGCAGTGTTCAAAAGAACAACAAAAACAATCATCAATACCCCATCTAATAAACCCATTAAAAGATGGTATACAGTACTAAGTAGCATAATCATGATGACTTGGGACTACTGTTTAAACTCAAGTAAAGGCCGACCAAATATCAGCCGAGGCACCTAATTTTACCATAAAACTGCATTAAAAATGTGCTGAAAATGACGAAACTTACAGCTGTTCTCTAGTTTTTAAATGCTTCCCCTTCAAACACCGCCCCCCACCCCGCGCCCCCACTATCATGATCCCAATTCTACCTTAAAAATCCGGCTAGACTGGCTAGAGGATGTACACGGGTACAGATAGGAACTGGAAACACAGGGAATGCAGGGTGGATGATCCCTTCAGGACCAGTGGTGAGAGTTGCGATACCGGGAGGGAGGGTGGAGGGAGGGTGGGGTAGAAAGGGGGAACTGATTATAAGGATCTACATATAACCTCCTCGCTGGGGGACGGACAACAGGAAAGTAGGTGAAGGGAGACATCAGACAGTGTAAGATATAACAAAATAATAATAATTTATAAATTATGAAGGGTTCATGAGGGAGGGGAATAATGAGGACTGATACCAAGGGCTCAAGTAGAAAGCATATGTTGAGAATGATGAGGACAACAAATGTACAAATGTGCTTGACACGATGGATGTGTGTATGGATTGTGATAAGCGTTGCACAAGTCCCCAATGATTTAAAAAAACAAATTTGCTGAAAAACTCAGTTTATATGCAAGTACATATAGTATCTTAATGACCATGAAACACACATATACTTATATGTTAAATTACACTTAGATTGGAGCATATTCAGAAGGAAACACAGGATCATGATCACTTCCAAAAGTTCATGGAAAAATGGAATTGAAACCTAATGAGTTTTTCCACGAGCTTTTTGAAGTCCCTTATATATTACAGATGCTGTTACCAAGGGTTGACTTTTTGGTGCTTGGAATTTCACTCACAATTTTGCTTTATTGGTTTTTCCTATGTGTACAATGATGGTTATCAATTAAATAATAATGCAACCAACACTGAACATTACTCCAAGCGAGACACGATGTGAAGCATTTTTGGCTTCTTAGCTTATCTAATCCTTACAATTCTAAGAGTCAGGACTCTTATTATCCACATTTTACAGGTGTACAACAGAGACATGAAGAGGTTAAAAAGCTTGTGCCAACAAGTGGTGGAACCAGATTCAAAGCCAGGCAAACTGGCCTCAGACCCCAAGCTTTTAACGACTGTGCTAAAAACTCCCTCCCAGACTGGAAAATGCAAACTGTAAAAACAAAGGAGTCCAATTTAAACAGGAAAAAGTTATGCATGTAGTGTATTCATGTTAAAATTCTCTATGCTGGGGTGTGGGGGGGGGGGCTGGGAGGGAGGGAAAAAAATGAGGAGCTGATACCAAGGGCTCAAGAAGAAAGCAAATGTTCTGAGAATGATGAGGGCAACAAATGTACAAATATGCTTGACACACTGGATGGATGGATGGATTGTGATGAGATGTATGAGCCCCCAGTAAAATGATTTTAAAAAATCTATGCTCAGATTATAATTCTGATCTAGATCATTTATTTCTGCAGACTTAATTTTGTTTTTAATCCATTCACCAACCAGAGGCCGGTTCAGAAAATGAAACCCTATTACCCTTTCCTCCCTTTTTGCTGTGAAGCAAGGAGACAGCAGACTCAGTGTTTGTGCTGTGCCCCTGCACTCTGACTTAAAATCACCGCTCCTTTCTGAGGGGCCTCGGGAGACAAACCCCCTCCCCCAAGAAATAAAACAAAAATCGCAGAAAGCTTGTCTGGATTAGTGCACAGATGGCCAGAGGGTGTGGAACGCCGGGAGGGGGTGGGGCAGAAGGCACCATCAAGTGAAGGTTTACAACCCTTCAGGTAGAGATGCTGGGCCCTGCATTTATAAGGTATAAACCTGTTTCAGACCCCCCCTGCTTTATCTACCTTCCTACACCTGTATCTTTTCAGGCCTCAAGGACCCAGAAGATACCTCGTTTCTAGTCTGGCTGGGGTATTCCCCGTCTGCCACCTCTGATGTGGTTACCCAGGAGCCTGGGAGCGTATTAGTCAGACGGCCTTGCCCAGTCTAATCTAAAGCCGGTCATCTGGGCTCGCTTGACTATTCCTTCTAATTTCTGGAACTCCCCTGCTGAAGGGCCGTCACCCCGGCAGGGTATCATTCCAGATGGGATGCCTCAGAAGAACTAAATTACTCACAATGGCCCTGAGGCAGACGATTTAATAAAACTGAAACCACAAGGGGCAAAACGGAACCCTAAGTCTCAGGTAGTCGCTATGGCCACTGAAGCTCCTTCTTGAGCTGTAGGTTAAGACCAGGCTTCAGAAGGCTTCCCGCAAACTTGGAGGCTGGACCGAGGTAGTCCTGAGGGATCCCTTCGGGCTTTCTCGACCCAAAGCGAAAACTCCTTTCCCAGCCTCCTACTCTGCTGGCCAGAGTCAAAGCAGGTAAATTATGTTACTACACTTCCCCCATGTTCCCGATCAGACGACAGCGTGAGTCTGACTGTAAGGGTGCTGGCTTTTATCAGACCCTTCCTGCTGTCTTCTCTGATCAATGCCCACAGAGCTAGAAATAGAAAAAGATAAAAACGAAAAGATTGTTCTCAAAGGAGCACGCCTATTTATCCTCACTTGTTCAATTTCTGGAACCCACGTACATGTCAATCATATATATTCTCTCTCTCTCTCTCTCTCTAACACGCCTCAACCCCCAATTTTCATTTTAGGGTAATTAGGTATGCTGTCAACAATTTTTGGCAAAAGCTTGGGGACAAAAATCGGAGGCATGTGATGTATTCAGTATCCTCCTCCTCTGATACTGCCCAGTTAGGTGCAGAGGGTGCGAGGAGTCTCTAGGGCCACTTGTTACAAACAGCCAAAGACACAGGGACCTGCCCCAGTCTAATGAAAAAGACAACTTGAGAAACCTCGGCCTCATGAAGATATTAGTGCTAAAGAACTACATGGTGTTCCCCCAAAATTTCACATTTCCTGATCTCGCAATGAAGGAATGGATCTCGAAAAAAAGCCAAAGTACCCTATTTTTTTTCTTTTTAAAACAGTTTTATTGGCATACAATTTGTACCCTATTTTAAGGGGGAAATAAAATGGATCAAATAAAATAACTGAATCAAGACTATAAAAATTTGAGAACTAGTTCTAACTCTGTAACTGATCCAATGCGTGACACTGGGAAAATTACTTCTCACGAACCCTCCGGTACTATGTGAGTGCTAAGACGCTCTACAAGTTCTAAGACTCTAAGACTCAGCATATAAAACAAAAATAGGGGCAAATTAGGGGGTAATTATGATCTAAAAGGTGCCCTGGCTTGACCACTAATGACTTTGCTCTCCTTAGGCAAGTCCCTGGGCTTTTTAAGTAAAAGGAAGCAGCCTGTCGGACTTGCGCAGGAGTCCTCACACTGCAGTCACCTGGCACCTCCTGTTGCTCGGTGCCATCCAGGCGGTTCACAGCACACCCGTGTACAATGGAAGGGAACACCGCCTGGCCCTGCACCGTCTTCACGACTGCTCTCGTGGTGGCGCCCACTCCACCTTGCTCCCCTCTTAGGAACTCAATTTCCTCACCTGTAAGATGAGGTAATGGGCTTTGTGGGCTCTGAGGTTCTGCTGACGTGGTCAACTCTATCATCCATATTGCATCTAGCACAGAGGACCCTGGCATTTGGCTTGCTTTCCAGAAGAATCCAGAAGGGCACCACTCTTCACGGCTCCATTAAAGCTGAAAGTGAGGCTCATCAGCCCTTCAAAAGCCAGTCAGGGCCACTCACTTGGCCACCACCACCCAGACCTTTCTGTGTGTCCACCTCCAACCTCATCTTCATCCTTCGTACCCATTCTCCTTGACACATTAAAAAAGAAAAAGAAAACGCAATCTTTGTCCTCAAACAGCAGTTAACAACATGGAGTAGGTCTGCATCCAATGGGTATGTAAGATTTTTTTAAAAGACATGAAACATCCTAAGTAACGTACCACCAAGTACAAGTTAAGAGTTCAGGTCAGACTTAATTATGTAACAAGGAGGTAGGTGTGGGTCGGCCACAGAAAGGTTCAGCAGACAGGAGTTTCAAGAGCCAGGTTTTCAAGCCCAGAAGGAACCCTGACTGGAGCAAAGAGGGTTGAGGCCTGGAATGGGATCCTGAATCAAAGCTCTTTACCTTCCAAGTGTTGGGGGGCAGGTTCCCTGTTCACAAGGCTCCAACCCCCTGATGCCTCCACTCAGTGCCACTCTGGAGACGCTCCCAGGAGCCCATCTTGTTGGCTATTTTCCAAATGAGTCGTCCTTCCTAGTGACAAGCTCCATCGCCAAGGGGATGAGCGTGATGTCACAACCAGGAGCCCTCTATTAATAGGAACAAGGAAGAGAAACAGTGAGTCAGGAACTACCTCCACTCGGCAGGGAGGTTGGACAGAACTGGGTCCGGCGGGCTTTCGGGAGGATGAGACAACCGCATTAAGACTAGAGTTTCAGGGCCGGGCATACAGGACTACCTGCGAAGAAGGAAGATCACTGGCTAAGGAAGCAGACTCTTGGCCCAACAGATTCAAACTGAGCTGGGGGGGAGGAGAGGAACGGTAGAGAAGAGGAGCTGTGGACGAGAGAAAAGTCTGTCGTATTCCGTGCACAGAAGGACAAGTAATTCCAGGGATTCCAAAGCTGTGGTTAGACCATACACAGACCCATCAGAGTATCTTCCATGTGCAGGGGATTCTTTAGTACTTCCACAGGGCTTTCACATCAATGATTTATGTAAAAAGAATTCGGGTCCTACCTTCCCATTGGGAAATACTACTCTTATAGGGAGCAAACACTCAAGAATGTTATAGGTGCAACCCTACTTCCCAAGTCAGGAAATGGTCCTGGAAGTATCGGGCTTTTTAAAAAGGAAGGAAGGAAGAAAATGAAGAGGCAGTAAAATCTGGACCTCTCCCAAGGTGGACAACTGGGCAGACTGCAGATGCCAGTATGATTAGGCAGACTCTCGTCACTAGAAAGATGGCATCAAGCAGAGGAAGACAGGGTTTTGGATGAAGGGTGTGGAGAAATCTGGTCTACTCTATCCAGGAGAATGGCAACTATTCAAACTGCTCTTCACCATCACGGTGATCAGAGCCAAGGGCAAGATCACTGCTTGTTAGACATGAACACAGGGACCACCTCCTTTTCTGAGGCTGGTACATATGTTCATTAACCTACTATGTCCGTCAGCATCAGCGTGGCGTTTTTTAAACTAAGCAGAGACATGAGCATAATGTCGCACACACCACCCTCTCTCATCCCTGTGGTTGGAGGGGCTGATATGTTTCTCCCCGTTACTCTTTTCTCTCCCACCCATGATGGGCATTTCATCTGAGCAAGCCCCATTGTCCAACACCCTGGCATAGGCACTGTACCTTGGGAAAAGCTTTCAGGATCAGTGCTGTTGGCTATGTACCGTCACAAGTGACAAGGTCCAGACTCAGGAAGTAAACAGCCAGCTGCCCTGGCTGGGAAAACTAATTGTACTTTGTACTACCCTTCAGATGATGCCTCCTTGGCTAGAACAAAATAAAAACGTAACTGAGAGGAGAATGAGGAGTCAGGGTGCCTGTCCTGGCTCTGCCATCAAGAAACTACGCACCTTTATAGAAAAGCCCTGTCACCCTTCAGGAGTTCAACTGCTTCAGTTGTCAGGTGGGGAAAAATGACACTTGCCTGATTTACCCTAGAATTAGGTGCATATACTTCTGAAAAGAAATAATAAATGTGAAAGCATCCTGAACACAGCTATCCCCAGAGTAAGGCTTTGTTTACAGCACCCAAACAAGAAATAACTTTACAGTAGAGAGGGGCTTGAAAAATGCTTGTTCCTTCTTTTTAACAGGTGGGAACCAGGCACAGCACAAGGCTGGCTGGATACACTGGGCAGCACTGGAGTTCCCCCTGCTAGTCTACCTCCATTCCTACGTGGAAAACAAACGAACAAAACCATCAGTCTCTTTCTTGTCCTAAGGTCCCACTGTCAAACCACCGTACAGGAAGGAAGGAACACTATCGCAAATCACTCTCAAAAGGCTTGGTGGACTAACAGCCCATTTGCTGTTAGAAGGGAAAAAAGGCAATTTCTGTCTGGGGAAGGTGTCCTTCAATTCTTTGGGCAAAATGCCCCCATCCCTCTGGGCCGCCTGCTCTTGGGGGGAGAGGGTGTGCCCGGGTGCGAGGGCTGCAGAAAGAGGGCCTGGCTGCAAACGAAAGGCAGGGGCTTAAGGAATGTGAGTGAGATTCCTTCACGGTGGGGTGGGAGGCGGAGTGGGGAAGGAATGAAGGAGGAGAACCAGGCAAAGGGCGGCCAAAGACAAGGCATGGGAGAGGAGCCAAGCTCCAGGGCTTTGAGGGCGGGGGTTCAGGTTCCACCGCCAATGGTCTTTTCCTCTCCTCTCAGTCCGTCAATCATTGCCTATTTCATACGACCTTCTCAGGCCCCCCTCCTCCCAGTCTTCCTTCCAGCCAACCCGAGCTCCCCGCCCCCACCCAACACTTCTCAAAGCTCCCCTCTCAGACGGACCCCCGAGAAAGCCCTCCTCCAGAGCCCCTCCTCATCTCCCAACTCTCCCCACTGCTGCCCCTTCCTCCATTTCTAATCTTCACTCCCATCCCGTCTCAGCCCACTATGTCCCCATCCCCCACAGCATCGCTCCCCTCTCCCCCCTTTTTAGGTGAGTGCCCACGCAGGCGCAGTACGCACCGCCTTGGAAGCGGTCTAGACTCTCCGTACCCCGAGCAGGCTGGAGCTGAGGCCGCAGCGGCCACGGGACAGCCCCGCTGCCGAGTCCCAGCATCTCCCGGGAGGGGAAGGGGAAGTAGAAGGAGGGGGGGGAAGGTTCTGACCACTCGCCGCCGTCCGACACGGAGCCCTTGCCCCGCCCACGATCGCTACGCAACGCGACGGAAGCCGTCACCAAACCCCGCCTCTTTGTTTAAGTCGGCTTCAGAGAAGCAGCCGCGGCCGACCAACGAGACGGGGTGCGGGCTAGCCAGGCCTCCGCTCTAGACCGGAAGTTCATGTGGCCACTTTGGAGGAATTACTCTATGTTCTTCCCAGGGGAATGTCTGGGGCCGTGCGGAGAGAAAGCAGTGGGGGTGGGAGGGGAAGGGAAGGGAGCCGAGCCCTCCGGCGGGAAGAAACTCAGGGCGGGCGCACCAGCCCCGCGTCCTCGAGCTGAGGCATCGTGGGGCGTGAAGGCGCGGGGAGGCCGTTCTGCCCTGTGACCCGCCCCGTCCCCGTTTCCAGAACCGTGGTCAGCTTCACTCCCAACCCAATGACGCATAGTCATGGGATTGGATGCTGCAGTCGACCCGCCGCTGCAGGGTGGAGAGCTGGGTAGTGACCCACAGCAAGGCTTTGACTTGGAGTGCTCAAAGTGCCCGCCGCACGCACCCAGTCGTATCCAGACGATGGTTCCCCCAAACGCTCAGGGAGTTCCCTTGAAGCGCCTCAGAGAGGGAAGGACAAGGAGAAAAAACAACGCTGTTCCTGGACCCATAACCCTCCGCTAGCTCCCCTCCCCACCTCCCAGCTCACCCAGTGTTACTTCCTTCTACCAGTTTTCATCTTTACTTCTTCTGATCCCCCATAACTTGAACTCCTCCCCCGAGGTTTGATTTCTTCAGCATACAACTTTGTGATTGGAGGTGTGGGTGGGACAGGACCATTCCCTTACTGGGATCTGAGGAAAGTCAAGGTGGAGCCTACCTCTCTATGGGGTTAATTAAGCAAGCCAAAGCATTAAGTACCATACTTGGCCTCTCAGACTAGTTTAAAAGGCTATCTGATATGGGCATTCACAGTAAAATTGTAATGCATATTAATATGTCTTTATGTAACTGGTTTGTATACAATAGTACAGAGCTAGCTAGCAACAACTTGATGACTGGGTAGTCAGATCTAAAAACAAAAAACCTCACAGCCTTTGCAAAGATTCCAACTCAGTGACCCTAGAGGACAGGGTAGAATTGCCCCTTTGGGTTTCCGAGACTATATTTTTACAGCCTCATCTTTCTCCAGGAATAGACTGACAGATAGCAAAACCAAACAGACAACACACTGCCATCACGTCGATTCTGACTCAAAACCAAAAAGCAAACGCACTCAATTCCACTTATAGGAACACTATGTAGGGCTTCGGAGATTCTAAGTCTTTACCAGAGCAGATAGCCTCATCTTTCTCCTCGAGAGCACCTCGTGGGTTTGAACAGCCATCTTCATGGTTAACAATCTAGCACCTAACCCGACAGCACCACTAGGGCATCCTATCACTCCTGTTTTCTCATCTCTGAAATGGGCATGAAAATTACATGGTTTTAAGTGAGAACAGGGAACAATGTATCACGCATAAGCAGGACTCAGAACTTTTATCACCTGGTCGATCAAGCCTTTTGTCCCTTTCCACTGTGTCATGTCTTGGAGAGAAACAAACAAAAATTTTTATTGAACATTTTATTGGGGGCTCTTACAGCTCATCACAATTCATACATATGTTGCCATCATTTTGGGGACATTTTTTTTCTATTTGAGCCCTTGGTATCAGCTCATCCCTCCCCCAACCCCCCAACAAAATCTTAACAGCCTATGTCATGAAGTGGATTCTCCCAGTCAAGTTTAAGAAAAATGGGAAACTGAGTCGCCATATGGTCGTGTATCTTTCCCCCTTGCAAAACCAATCACCTAAACTACAAACTCAGGGCCCTTAAGTGGATACCAACTCATGACTACATCCTAAACCCACTCCAACCCAAACTCACTGCCATCGCGAAGACTCTCATTCATAGAAAACTGCTCCTTAAGGGTTCAGAAGACAGCCTGATCTTTTTCCCAGGTGGGTTTGACCTGCCATCCTTGCTTGCTAGCAGGTCAAAGCTTAACCCACTTTGCCACCAGGACCCACCTAAAAAACTCACTGGCTTAGTGTCAATTCTGACTTACCTTATAGGGCAGGGTGGAACTGTCTCTGAGAGTTTCCAACACTGTACCTCTTTACAAGAGTAGAAAGCATCATCTTTCTCCTGTAGAGCGTGTGGTGGTGGTTTCGAACCGCTGGCCTTAGAGTTAGCAGCCCAACCGTATACCACCGCTCGTCACCAGGGTTCCCTGGGGGCCCACGTAGTCCCCTTTAATAGCTGCAATACGCCCCTTCCCGTTGCGTATGTCCCAGGTTGTGATTGGCTGGGTCGGCGCTGGTGGCTAGACACTGATTGGACGAAGTAAGCCATCCTGGACAAACTTCCGGGAATGTCCCCACTCCCGCGTTCCATCGGGTGGCATCCGGCGCGGCTGCTGGCCTGTGGCTCCCCCTGCGGGCAGCTCGGCAGCGTGCACCGTCAGGCCGACTGGCTAGGTGGGTGGTGGGTGGTGGGTGGTGGGTGGTGGGTGGTGGGTGGTGGGTGGTGGCGGGGATAGACCGATTCCTGGGTTATTCTTAGGAGGGATATTTGGCGAGTAAGACTCCAATCCCTGGCTCTGCAACAAGTTCCCTACCCCCATCTCCTTTAGCTCCCCCCCTTCGGGGTTTAAGACTGCAAGCGCATCCCTAAGGGGACCTTTCAGCTCCTAAGCCGTCTAGCCGGAGATTCCCAAATTCTGATCTTGAGGTTAAAGGCTCCGGGAAGTGCAGCGGGGCCTGGGAAATGCCGCATGGGAGTGAGGGCGTTATGCATTGAGCCTCCATTCCCCCTGCCAGTGAGGTGCCGCGGCCCGGGCAGCATGACGACCGAGACCTTTGTGAAGGATATCAAGCCAGGGCTCAAGAATCTGAACCTCATCTTCATTGTACTGGAGACAGGTAGCTTGCTGGGTGTTGGGCCTGGGGCGCGGGGGCGGGGGTCGAGGGGACGTGAGTGGAACCGGGGAGAACACAGTCCAGTCCCGGTCTCCGCCCTGATGACAGGGCCTGCCCAGAAGACCCAGCTCACTCCCTTCCCTAAGATGTGCTTGGGTACAAAGTAGCTAGAACTCTTGATTGTTGCCACTCGCGTCTCTTTCCACTCAGGGCCCTCTCCATGGTACTGGACCCTTCACCCCCACCTCTCCACCCCATCCCGCCACAGGGTGATTTGGACTTTGCACTGCTTGTAAACTTTTGCCTTCACCCCATCAATACCCAGATCTCATCCCTCTGACCACCTCTCCCCCTCCACCCTATTGGTTTGTTCCTTCCAGGCCGAGTGACCAAGACCAAGGACGGACACGAGGTGCGGACCTGCAAAGTGGCAGACAAGACAGGCAGCATCAACATCTCAGTGTGGGACGATGTGGGCAACTTGATCCAGCCCGGGGACATTATCCGCCTCACTAAGGGGTAAGCTGGCCCAGGATAGGGGCTACTCACGGGCAGCAACACTCAGGGGTGGGGGTGGCCGTGGGGGGAGGTTCACAGTCCTTGTACCTTTTGTGAAGACTGAATTTTTGCTTTCTTTTACCTCCACAGGTATGCTTCAGTGTTTAAAGGCTGTCTGACACTATACACTGGCCGTGGAGGGGACCTGCAGAAAATTGGAGAGTAAGTTCCTGCTTCTATGAATTGGGCTGAAGAAGCCTCCTCCGGCCAAGGAGGGAGAGTGGAGGTTTGCAGGGAAAGAGCTTAAGGATGTACCACTCCCCCTGCATCTAGGCCCTTCCGGGGCTCCAGCGTGAACCCCAAAGGATGAGTTTAAGGCTTTGGCCATTTTCCCCCCTTGCAGGTTCTGTATGGTTTATTCTGAGGTGCCTAACTTCAGTGAGCCGAACCCAGAATACAGTACCCAGCAGGCACCCAACAAGGCGGTAAGTCCCATAGCCACAATGGTGGGGAAGGAGGGCAGGCCAGACCGCAGAAAAACCGGGTGGAGCTGGAGCTGACTATCTGCTGTGTGCCTTCAGGTGCAGAACAACACCGACAGCAGCCCTGCAGCCCCCCAGCCTCCCACCGGACCCCCTGCTGCGTCTCCAGGTAAACCTACTCCCTTTCCTCCACTGGGCCTCTTCTGCTGGCTACCCCCTCCTCCTCCTCCTCCTCAACCTGTTGTGTTGTTTGTTGTCACCAGGAATTGACTCTAGTGTGTGTCTTTTGTGGTGTCGGCACAGATCTGCCCCATAGCCTTTTCAAAGCTGTGATCTTTCCTAAACAAATTACCCATTTCTTCTCCAAGGTGCCTCAGGGTGGGTGTGAATTGACTATTTCCTAGCTCACCTGCCCGCAGGGGAGCAGCTAATGGTTTGTGCCTCCAGCCATTCCTTTGCTCCCTTCCCCACATTCCTTTTCACCTAAACCCCTCCAGCCAGCTCTTCTCCTAAGCCTGTGACTTGGGAGACTGACAAGTCCCCTAGGTGGAAGGGTTTAGGACCTATTTGGCTGCTGCCACTTCACTCAAAGGCAAACGGGAGGGTACTTCACAGGCTTGCTTGCCCTCCTTCAAACGCGATCATCGTTCTCGCTGCATCCTTGCTTTTCCGACCTTGCCCACTGACTGTCACACGGTTCAGTACACCCGGACTGACTTACACACCGCAACATGCTTGACAGCACCAAATTGTGCCCATCTGGCATTCACACTCTTCTAGGAATACAGGTGTACCTTGGGGTCATGACTCTTCCAGCTGATATACTTCGAGCCCCCCTCTTTGTCTCTTGAGGAATGGGGACCTTAGTGCAGGTCACCACTGGTGAGGAGAGCCACCCACTGATGCCCCCTCCCTCACCAAAGCGTCGCTGCCCTCTGGCTTCTCCTCAGAGCCTGGTTTGTACCACACACCTCCCGAGTTGGCCCTATCCTGGGTGTTTAGGTGGCTCTTGCCCTCTCTGGCCAATCGCCTAGGTTTCAGGCTGCTTCTGCCCATCTCCCATTTGTGTCTAACATCCCCAGTTACCATGGTTTTCTGAATCACTGGCATGTCAGAGCCACTGAGGGTCATGATGTGTCTTTAGAAGACCATGAAATAATGACTTTTAACTCCCCCCCCACACACACACAGATTAGCATCTATGTTTCCAATAGAAAGTATCTTGGTTACAATTTCCCCTGTCTCTGTGGCTTAGTGAGTTATAAAAAAAAATTAAAAAATGTATTTCTAAGACGCTACGTTGGAAGCTTGCTTACCTCTAATGTTCATTTGCCACACATGGGCTCATGTCCTCATCTGCTAACCAGGTACAAGAGGGTTAACACCAACAAAGAAACGGCTTAAGAACTTCATGTGGACTTCTATCCACTCCCGTGTGTGTGTGTGTGTGTGTGTGTGTGTGTGTGTGTGTGTGTGTGAGAATTGGGGGAAGGACATGCTGTTTTGGTTTTCACAGCAGATGTCTTTGTTGTCTGAGCATCACGAGTGTACGATAGCCACCCCATTGAGAGGCCTATGGCTGTGCCGCTGTCTTCCTTTAAGAAGCACTTATGGAGTACTTTATAGGTGTCAGGGATTACGTAACACCTGCCTTTAGGAGACTGGAATCTATGGCGATTACAGAATGACTGTAATACAATGTAGGGAGGGCAGAGGTAGGTAGTGATGTGCACAGAAATGAGAGACATCTCACACAGCTGGCTCTAATCAAACATTTAAAATACATACAAAAAACATTATTCTCGGTAGGAGTGATTATGGTAACAATATCTTTGCTTATGCTATCTTTTTTGGTTTGAGGGTTTTTGGTTTTGCTTTTTTGTCTGTTGTTTTAAAAAATGAATATTACTACCATGGCAAACACATGTATGTCCTCAAAAAAGGTCCATGTATACACACATGCATGCCAATTCTTCTGTTTTGAAGACCCACTTGTATCCCCCGCCCCAAGCTTCCCAAGTTCTGCAGTGACTCGGTAAAGGGCATTCTGTCAAAGGCCCTTGAGCTTGGAGCCACACGGTGAGTGCCAGGCCTGACTCCGCCCCTCTAGTAGGGGAGCGCCCGGTTCCCGTGGGTCACACGCTGTGTGACTGCCGAGTCTGCTTGAGGGCGCCAGCCTTCCAGTCCACCACCATCTTCTGCACTTGGTCCCTCGGTGGCGAGGGGCCGCTGTGCTTGGTGAAGGGGTTCCCTGGGCTCCGCGTGCCACTCTCTGGGGGCTGGTGAAAGCTGTAAGGCCGGCCCTTCACCTCCCTGAGTGCTCTCACTCCTGTTTCTTCCTCCTCTTCCCTCATTAGCCACCGAGAACCAGAATGGGAACGGACTGAGCGCCCTGCCAGGTCCCGGCGGAGGCCCGCATCCCCCCCACGCTCCCTCCCACCCACCGAGCACCCGGATCACCCGCAGCCAGCCCAACCATACATCTGCTGCCCCTCCTGGCCCCACCAGCAACCCTGTCAGTAATGGCAAAGAAACCCGAAGGAGCAGCAAGAGATAGCAAGACACTCTTTCCTCCCTTCCTGCCGCCAGACACAACCCAGGCGTCTGCAGAGAGCAAGACAACTGGACACTGGGCTGCTGCCTTGCTGGGGGGACGGAGCGGTCGTTTTTTGCCACTAAACTGCCTTGGTGGGGCAATGAGCAGTGGCCTTATCCACCCTTAGCCCAAGGTCCCCCCCTGACCACCTGGAGCTGCCTGTCCCCTCCAATTCCGGACATCCTGCCTGCCCGCCCCCCCTCTTTAGAAGCGACAGTCACAGGGTGTGTCTCTTGTGTGTGCGCGCGCTTCGGGAGCCTCACTGAAATCCCTTCCCTAATAAATGTTATCATTCCGACTGGACTCCTGTGCTCTGTGCGGGGAAAGGAAGAGCTTAGCAGCTGGGCATGTGGAGGTATGGGGTGCCCCCAGGAGGTGGACGGGACACAGGTTACAGATAAGGAGTTCTGAGCAAAGCAGGCCTGCCCCTTTAAGGTGGTGTCCCTCCCCTACACCCTCCCTGCAGGTGACCCTTGCCCGCCTGCCTACTTACCCCCCAACCCCCAGCTGCAACCAAGAAGGCTGGGTCCCCCTTCCTCTGAGTGTCCTTCCCGTCTTGTCCGCGCTCGCTCAGGTAATGCCAATGCCGACCTCTGCCCCTCCAGACCAACTGCCCCCGCTAACCTTGCCCCCCCCATCTTCAGGCCTCTGAGAGCCCCCGATACTGCTTCCCCGGCCTTCACCCTTTGCCAGAGCTCCGGCCCGCTCTTCCTCCCTTTGGGCTGAGCAATCGCTACGAAGTTTCCCCTGATGCCCTTGAGATTGTTGCGTTTCTGCCTCTTCACCCTCCGCTGCAGCTTAAGGACACATGGGTCCAGGAAATGGGTGGGCAGAGGAGGAAGGGGGTGGGGGGTGGAAGGGGGCAGATAGGTGAGCCCAGTGCCAGCTGTAAAGTCACCGCCGCCGATGGATGGCAGTATAAGTGAGCAAAGGGCCCCAGCGGTACCAGCTGGGTTGGGGATGGCATGGATTGTTTACAGGGGAATCAACCCAACTTCTCTTTAGCCACGTGGCTCTTCTAGGGGCAGAGGATGGCCCCTCCCGACTGACTCAGGGGCCCAGCTAAGACTGACCTTTGACCCCCACCCCAGAGACCAGTGAACCATTAACTCCTCTTGGTGTGAGCGTTCCCATTTTGGCCCCACCCCTGGTCCCGCCCCGAGGCAGGTGGGCTGGCGGGGCAGGAGGGGTTTGTCCATCTCAGCCTTCTACTTGACTTGGCCTCCGTTCCACCTGGGCACTGGTGTTTGATACGGGGCTCCCCACCCCCACGCAGGAAACCACCGCCCGCCTGGGCAAGGCCAGACGTGGACGTGGATCTGAGGTGCTTGACGGCCTCACACTGCCAGTGGGGGTAAGGCCGTGGCAACAGACAGAGGGGTCAAAGTGGTGGAGAGGAGGAAGGTGGGGAGCAGGACGGAAGGGCCGGAGAGAGCTCTGGGCCAGGGCAGAGGCCCCAGGAACTGCAAACACAGAGCAGGGAAGGGGCTAGTGCTAGATTTCAGGTGGGAGAGCAGGTTTGTGGAGCGAGGGTCTTCCCTTCCCTGAGAACAGAGCTATAGCCCCCCGGCGCCTGCCCACCCTGCTTGTCCTTCCAGGGAATAGGCTTCAAGATGTTCCAGGGGAAATAGAAGCCAGCACCCGAGCCTCTGAGCCCTGCTCCCACAATGATGGGGTCCCCAGTGAGTCACCTGCTGGCTGCCTTGTGTATGTCAGTGGTCTTGGCGTGGGCAGGGGGCTCAGCCCCCAACCTGGGTCCCGCTGAGCAGGAGCAAAATCACTACCTGGCCCAGCTGTTTGGCCTGTATGGGGAGAACGGGACGCTGACAGCAGGGGGCCTGGCGCGGCTTCTGCACAGCCTGGGGCTTGGCCGGGTTCAGGGGCTTCGCTTGGGACACCATGGGCCTCCAGCCAGCCGAGCTACACCCCCCGCCGGAGACAATTCCACACACAGGTACTAACCCCTTCCAGCACCCCAAAATGCCTCATCATCCAGTTCCTCTGAGGGCTTACATCCGCCTCCATTCGCCTTCTGAAAATCACCCCCCACCACCCCACCAGGTCCCTCTTGCCTTCTGCTGCCCCCCTCCAAGTTCCTAGGCCCAAGAGCAAGTTCCCAACCCTCTGTTCCAATGCTAGGTGCCTCCAGGCTGTCTGGGCTCTCAGCACTTGGGGCTGCCCTCCCCCAGGTTCCACTCCCAGGGGTACCTCTACCTGGTCCAGTCCCCCAACTTCTCAGCAAGGATGCTTCCTGGCCTATGTGCCCCTGAAGCCCCAGCCAGCGGCGGGAGCACACTTTCCCCCGACTTTTGTGGGAACCTCTCCAAGCGGGCTGAGAGCAGGAGTGAGTCTGACCTGCTCCCCTCCCTTCCAGGCCACAGGACTCCGAGCTGAGTGTGGACGTGTGGGCAGGGCTGCCCCTAAGCCCCTCAGGATGGGGTGACCTGGAGGAGCCAAATGCCCCCCACGCCCCCCATGGGGCAGCCCCCTCGGGCTTGGACCTCTTCCACAGGCTTCTGTTGCTGGACCATTCGCTGGCTGACCACCTGAATGAGGATGTGAGTCTGACGGTCTCGAGACCGGAAAAGAGACTGGGGATTGTGATGGCCAAGTGTAGAGTCAGCCATTTAATAGTTGCTTCAAAAAAAACACCCCAACAGCCCCCAAACATCTTAATGACCTCTTAAGGATACATGATTCTGGCAGTGAAATACTTGCCCACCGAGCTCAGAGCAGGTGAGCCCACACCCAAGGCTCCCAGACCGTTTCTGGGCTATCTTTGGCCAAGCAGAGAACCCCAAGAAGTAGTCCAGGGGCTGGGACTGGTTACCTGGGGAGGAGACTTGTAGGGGGTGTTCATCTAAGGTACTGACCTTGTTTTCCTGGACGTCACCAGGCAGCCAAAGCTGCCTGACCACACACAGCAGGCCCAGTGAGCTTCCTGTGGCAAGGAGCACCCAGCCACGGCTGAGTGGCCACGGGACAGGGCTGTGGAGGAGGTGGGTTGGCTTTTCACGCCTTGCCTCCTAAGCTTCTGGAATGGAGGGCTCTTACCCAAACACCAAGCCCACAAAACCACCAGGGCTTGGGAGGGCGGAAGGTGGCAGCAGTGTCCATGCGTGCCCAACCTGCACGGGCTGTATTCTCACACAGCCACCACGCATGGGTGCACAGCTGTCTGGGCCCGAGGCGCCTGCCTGTGTGAGCAGAAGGGAGCCTGGCAGGCTCTGCCCTGAAAGTAGACAGACTGACTCACGGTTCCTGGTGGTTTCCCGATGTTTGAAACCCCACCTCAACCCCTCTAGTGTCTGAATGGCTCCCAGCTCCTGGTCAATTTTGGCCTGAGCCCTGCTGCTCCTCTGACCCCGCGCCAGTTTGCGCTGCTGTGCCCAGCCCTGCTCTATCAGATCGACAGCCGAGTCTGCATCCGGGGCCCAGCTCCAGCACCCCCAGGGGACCAACTAGCCGGTCAGTGGGTGAGAGAGTGGGCAGCGGTGGACAGTCCTGTGTCTGTTTGCAGTGTCTGCACCCTGCCTCCACCCCCCACTCTGGCTAACTGCAGACCCTGGTCCTCCCAGCCCTGGCCCATAGTGCCCTGGCAGTCCTGCTGCTCAGCCTCCCTACGCCCCTCTCTCTGCTGCTGCTGCGGCTCCTGGGACCTCGTCTCTTGCGGCCCCTGCTGGGCTTCTTGGGGGCCCTGGCCGTGGGCACTCTTTGCGGGGACGCACTGTTACACTTGTTGCCACACGTATGTGAACCCCCTCCCTGTCATCCTGCCCCCAGGGTGGCCTCTCTCCATGGTCCAAGGGGCTTGCTTCCAGCCACTGGGCAGCCCCCCCCCCCCGCCCCAGCTACGCCCCCCCATTCCTGCCCGCTCCTGTGTCACTGTCATGTAGGGGGAAAGGCCTACCATCTTGGGGGGAGGGAGGGTGCGGCTGAGTGTGGGGGCCTTCCAGGGTCTGCCCTGTCTCTCTGTCAGGCCCAAGGAGGGCAGCATGCAGGGCTCAGCGGGCAACCGGAGGAGGACCTAGGTCCGGGACTGTCCGTGCTTGGAGGCCTCTTCCTGCTCTTCGTCCTGGAGAACATGCTAGGGCTTTTGCGGCACCGAGGACTGAGGCTAGTAAGTGACACTCTTTCCTCCTCCTCCTCCTCCTGCCAGGACCAGAGTCCAGGCCAAGAGCTGGTCAAACGCCCCAGGAGCTGAGAGGGAGAGAGCGTGGCCCTGGAGTGTTGGCTGCCCCGCTGTGCTAACAATGAGGGTAGACCAGGAGCACGGGCCAAATGGCCTTCCACTCCTGCGTGAAGTCAATGCAGAGGGAGGTGCCGATCTCAGAGAAGGCAGAGAAGCCAAAGAATGTCCCCAGGTGCAGAGGTGGACCCAGGTGTTCCCTTTCCCAGCTGGTGGCCTGGCCGCCCCTTAGTCCCCGGCTCTGCTGCCTCCTCCACCAGGAGGGATACCCTCCTATTTCAGAGATGCTGCAGGTGGCGAAGACGGGACCGAGAAAGACCGAACCCGGACGCAGAGGACGGCCATGGGGTGGCCCTTCAGCCCCTGCGGGCGGCTCCAGGTGACTGGAGGTCAGCGTGGGCTCCCAGCTCCCAGTCCTCATTTGCAGCAACCAACCCTGTCCCTGTCTGTCCCCCTGCAGAGCCAGGGGCTCAGGGTCGGGGGGAGCAGGACAGCCAGCCCTCACCAGTTCTGGCTCCTCCCGGGCACCGAGGCCACAGTCACGGGCACCAAGGTGGCGGCGGGGGCACCCACATCACGTGGATGGTGCTCCTGGGAGACTGCCTGCACAACCTCACCGACGGGCTGGCCATAGGTGTGAGGGGCTGGGGCCAGGAGAGTAGGGATGTGAGGTCTCCCCTGCTCCTCAGGACGGTGTCCTCCCAGGACGACTGACCCCCGGTAATCACGCCCACTGCAGGTGCAGCCTTCTCAGATGGCTTCTCCAGCGGCCTCAGCACCAGCCTAGCGGTCTTCTGCCACGAGTTGCCCCATGAACTGGGTAGGCCAGGCTGCAGGGGGTACGGTGGGCACAAAACTTGCAGGCTAGCGTGGGTGAGGAGCTGCCTGCCCACCGCCCCTCCCAGCCCCCCATCTCTCCCCACCAGGTGACTTTGCCATGCTGCTCCAGGCCGGCCTGACCTTCCGGCGACTGCTACTGCTGAGTCTGGTGTCTGGAGCCCTGGGGCTGGGGGGTGCCGCCCTGGGGGTGGGGCTCAGCTTGGGCCCTGTCCCCCTCACCCCTTGGGTGTTTGGGGTCACGGCGGGGGTCTTCCTTTACGTGGCCCTCGTGGACATGGTGAGAGGTGTGGGATGGGTCACCAAGGGACGAGTGTGGGGAGAGAAGAGGGAAGTGGCAGGGCCCCGCCCCTCCCCGGCCTCCAGCTCCCTGGGGGTCTGAGTGAGAGTCAAGACAGGGGTGGGGGGGGCGTTGCAAGGCTCTGGAAGAGGCTGGGCAACGAGGGCTGCTGACACCCTGAGGCCCTTTCAGGGAGGGGGTCGGATCCTAATGTCTCCTTTCCTTTCAGCTCCCCGCTCTGCTCCGCCCGGCTGAGCCGCCCACCCCACTCACAGTGCTGTTGCAGGGGCTGGGGCTGCTGCTGGGGGGCAGCCTCATGGTCACCATCGCCCTGCTGGAGGAGCGGCTCTGGCCACTGGCCTCGGAGGGCTGACTGCCAGGGTCAGGGGCTGAGGCTGCCTCTCCTTCCCCCCACCACAGGAATGGAGGCGGGACACGGGCCAGTAGGAGCGATCAGGATTTTAATAAACAGAACCCATCCCAAAGCCATGACTACGACAGTTGTACTTGCACCAAAACAGCATAGAAAACCAGCGAGGGGAGGGAGGGGGCCCAGAGGTGGGAGGGCCAGGGCATCGATCTGCAGGGAGAGCATTGTGCTTTAGCCCGGGGAGGGGGGGCGGGCGGGGTAAATATGCACAGGTTCCCCCCTTTTTCCTGCTGCCCTCAGCACCCAGGGGACACAGGCATCGGGGCAGATCTGCCCTTTATTGCTGCCCACCAGCATGAACACCCCACCCCCCACCCCCCGCTCCCCGCCCCCACACTAGCACCACAGGTGGACCCAGGGCAGGGGGAGGGGCAGGAATGGGAAAATTGCTTAGAGAAAGATTCGACTAGAATCCAGTGACTTGTGCTCAGTTCTCTTTACTTCCTACAACCGAGTACATGGGTCACAGGGTGGGGGGAGGCACAAGACACGGGCTGCGCCCTCTGTGTCCCCCATCACACACCTGCGAGGGAGGGTGGTGTCTGCAGCATCACAGGTCATGCAGGGCATGGAGGAGGGAGGTGCACACGCACACAGACGTCCACAGCGGGTACCAGACAGAGACCACCCTGACTACACACAGCTAGCTGTACATGGGGAAACCCGGGTCCCCACCCCAAACCCTCTCCCCTGTCTTGCCGTCCCCTGGGGCGGGGACACTGTATTGCTTTGAGAGAGCCACTCTGGGGCTGCTCTGCCAGGCACCCTCCCCTCCCCCCACCCCCATTTTGGCACATCTGCAAGACACAGGGCAGCAAGAGTAGACACCCTCCCTCCTGGGCCTCTGCGGCTTGGGGTTGGGGAAGGGGGGAGGGGGCCGAGATCCTCCATCTTACCCCCTAGCCCTTCCCCAACTCCTGCCACATCCATTCCAGCCAGAAGAGCTCCCACCCCCACCCCTCCCCGCAACACACATACAAAGCTGAGCTATCCAGGAATACAGGGAACAAGGCGATTGTCGGGGATGGGGGTGGAGGCGGGAAGGGCTGGAAGCAGAGACCCCCCCACCCTGGTGTGGGGGGTTAGACTGGCACAACAGCTACTTAGTGCAATTGGAGAGGGTGCCCAGAGTGAGGGGTGGGCATGGGAGGGGAAGGCTCCCCCCAGGAAGGGCCCAGCAAGAGCGAGCAGGCCATGGGGGGGTTGTGGATCCTCTCTGCACTCTGCCACTCTCTACCTCCCATATGCAGTGACAGCGTCCCTCCCCCTCACATCTCAGTGGGCAACAGCAGCCTGGAGTCAGTACCTTCAAGTAATTCAAAGAGCAGGACACCCCCCACCCCCACCCCTAGCTTCCTCCCAGCTCTGGGATTTGGTCGTTCTCTGGGGTTGGGTCAGGAGGAGGGAATCCCCAAATCAGACCCTTCCCTCTCTACCACCTCCCTGTCCCAGACCACTGGGCTTGGTCCTCAAAGATTCCTGACCTCCGCACCTTGCCCAAGCTGGGTCAAGAAGGCGGAGGGTTGGGGCCACCACAACTCGAGGGGGAGGGGAGGGGCTGTTTTGCTCCTTGCCCTCCTCCTGGAAAGGGAAGGTTCAAACTAGGTGGAATGGGGGGTGGGGGGGGAGCATACTGGTTTGCCCCAGGAGCAGGGTTTCTGGGCTAGGGTCTGTAAGGCTATTTTCCTTTGCAGTGGGCAGGGGGTTGGTGGGATGAACACTGGGTGTGGGAGGAGGGGGAGAAATGTCTGCAGGGTCATGAGGAAGGGGCTGCCCTGCTGGATGGAGCAGAAAGTTGGGGCCATTTGAACAAAGAAGCACTCAGGTGCATAATAGACAGAGTGCACCTTCCCCCAGCCCCTGCAGCCAGACCCCCACCCTACCTCTCAGGGCCCCTTCTGGGGGTCCTGAGGTAAAGGGGACACAGCTGTAGAACCGTTCACTCTGCCCCCCTCCCCCCCCCCAAGCCTCTTCTCCCTCTCTGGGCCCAGGGAGTAAGAGGGAGCTGGGTGGGCAGACAGTGGTGGAAACAGTATCGAGTTTTCCTTTGGTTACATATTGAAGGCAAAGGTGAGCTGGACTTACAGTCAAAACGGATAGGGGTGAGGAAGGAGGAGGGCCCTGGCTGGGGTTGGAGGGGGTCAGGCCCTCCTCAGCCCCTCCACCCCAAGGAACGCGTATCTAAGTGGGGTGGCAGTCCCTCCT